GCCCAAATGGCGTAGTTCCTATCGTTGAGCTTTTCCGCCATATTTAATGGCTGATTGGAAGAGCTCTCGATAGGTTCGGCCTTGGGTGCCAAATTCTGAAAATTTTGAAGAATTTCCAGAATTTGTGCAAGATTGATCGGCTGATTTTTCGGGTCAGATTCCTCTGTGTTTATGGAACTGCCCGTTTGAGGAGTTTTATCGGACATTTTTTTTATGGTATATGATGAATGCTGCGTTTCATTCAATTGTTTGATCGAATGATGGCTCTGATACCATATTAGAAATATTAGAATAAATTCACAGCATAATATTCATCTTATTCAATTCATCATCAAATGATGAGTATATATATTACAAAGTGAATAATCTAGACAATCAAGGAAGGTAAGTGGAAGATAATAAAATATCTTTGATTGGTAATTTGATTCCAATCAAGGATATTATCCTAGTCATCAATATTATTCCTTTGTTTGACACTATTCTTTGTTTGACATTTCTAACATATACTTCATACTTTATCCCCTGCATACTAAAGAATTGAACTCATGGGTCTACCTAGTAAGTCGCAGCAGTCGTCTGATCTGTGCACTTCAACCATTTAAGTGACAAAATGCTAAAACCTAAAAGTGTTCATTTCTAACAACTGATGTTTATTACGGAGTACTACTATATAATTATAGACCAAATAATGAACATAAAGACAGTTTAATATTTGAACGTAGACTGGAATGATTTTTTCAGAGTCATATTAAGCTGCTTTAAATTTGACTTTTAATTGGTTGCATAACTCTCATTTATCATTTATGTTGCTGTCTAGTCTCTACCTTTATTGGGTTGCTGTTGTAAATTGGGATCACTTATTTAACATAATTTTTTTAAAAATTCGGTTCAGTTTTTCCTAGAGCTGATGAAAGTTCCAAGGGTAGAATCCAAGCTCAGAGTCTTTTCCTTTAAAATCCAATTCTGTTCCCAGGTCAGAAGAAGCTGCATCCTGTTATCTGCTATATTCTTTTCATAATATTTGTATTATACTTTTCTAGTTCTCAATATATAATTTTCTTTCAGGTTTCTGATTTAAGAAAAAGTTTAAATATTGTGAACTCTACTGCTGAAGAGGCAAGCTCTTATGTCCTGTTACCCAGTCCTTCTGCAATAAAACTCGCTGCTAAACAGTTTTTTTTGCAGGTCAGAAATTCTGTGAAGTTGAAAAGAATTATGCAGACAATTCTATCCCTGGGCAATGCTTTGAATCATGGGACTGCAAGGGGTAAGTACTACATATTATCCATCATGTGCCTGCAAAGTGTGTTCATAATAAAAATGGAAAAAAAAAGGAACCAAAATTGCAGATTAAATTAATTTCTTCAGCCATAATAATGATTGATTATTTATTCCACAACTATTCCTGTTACTAAGATCAAAACAATCTCTTACACCTTAGGTTCTGCTGTTGGATTTCGGTTAGATAGTCTTCTAAAGCTGACCGATACACGTGCTCGTAATAACAAGATGACTCTAATGCACTATCTCTGTAAGGTACAACATAGCATTTCATAATCATTTTTTAATGTGGTATGACTTGGAATTTTCCCTCATTTCATTTTTTTAAAAATGTGTTATAGTTTTTGGTCAATTTGCCACCCATTTTGATCAATAAAAGATTTTACATTGAAATGCCTCTATAGGTTCTTGCTCATAAGCTACCAGAAGTAATGGATTTTCCTAATGACCTTTTGAGCTTAGAGGCTGCAACAAAGGTGCAAACTTTGCAGTTCTTCTTTACATTCTTGTTTCTTGTTCAATATTTCAAATTATGGTGCATACTAATTATGTGGCCGGATGATTTCTTTTTAATGTGCAGATACAACTAAAATATTTGGCAGAGGAAATGCAGGCCATCAGCAAGGGGATGGAGAAAATTCAACAAGAACTCACTGCCTCAGAAAATGACGGCCCTGTGTCTGAGAGTTTCTGCACTGTATGTTTTTATGCTCTCCATTATTCCATACACGTCATTCGTCCACTTTTATAGTTAAAAAAATTACACAGAAAAAAGTCAAAAAAAAAGAAGAAGAAAGAATCATTTCTCTACCGACTCTAATCACATGCTATAAAATTCTCAGACATTAAAGAATTTTCTTAGCTACGCTGAAGGTGAAGTGAGATCTCTCGCTACCTTGTATTCTGGAGTGGTAAATCCTTGTCCCTGTTTTTTTCACTCTCTAAGCATAGTTTTTTTTGTTTTTGTTTTTGTTTTTGCCTTTGGTTGTTGGATATGAACACTAAATCTCATGTATATCTTTTAGGGAAGAAATGCTGATGCTTTGGCTAACTATTTTGGAGAAGATCCCGCCCGTTGCCCATTTGAACAAGGTAGTTCTTTGATCTTATTCTTAGCATGTAGGGGGGCATGATTCGATCCGGATCCTTGAGGGTTCCAAAGGATGACCCAAATTAGTAAAAAAGAAGACACAGTTTGCCCTTTTATGATCCGAATTCGGGAGGACCCCATGGGTAGGGTGCATTCTTATGGACTGCCCTTTACACACATATTCAAAAGTGGCAATTAGAGGACTTTCTCTTAAGCTATAGTAACTCAAGAAGATGGGGGGTGCAATTCTTTGTCATTCTGTTTTGTATATAAGCTAGCTATTTCTCATTTTATGCTTGAACATCCATTTTTATGTCCCCATTGTCTTCTTTAGTTCATTCTTCTTGATGATTTCTATCATATAATGACTAATGAAAGTGAGAACGCATGTTTCTGCAGTTGTATCAACTCTGCTGAATTTCGTAAGGATGTTTAAAAAAGCTCACGAAGAAAACTGCAAACAGCTTGAGTTTGAGAGGAAGAAGGCTGAAAAGGAAGCAGAAAACGAGAAGGCCCAACTAAACGCTTCGAACCAACAGATGGGAAATGAAAAGATGAAGAAGAGTAATTCCTCCATAGGCACCGCCGCGGAACATCATTTGATAGAAACAACATAGAGCACAAGTTCCTGTTGGTTTGAGTCCATTCTTCGACTGTTGCAAAATGCAAAGGCATATGGTGGCTTGAAAGAGAGTTCAGCCAATTGGGAAGATAAAATACCACTTGTTTCGCACAAATGAAGACCATTTTTTCTATCGGTACGCCATCTTGACCTTCCAAATGAAGTTGACTTTTTTGGGACAAAAAAGTTTTGAAGCGCGACTTAGTTTTTTGCTTTATTAAATGTCTTGTGATTATGACCGAGAATGTATTTTCTCTGCTGCAGCTGTAGATGTGGAGTTGCGAAGCGACGTAGGCGCGGGCCCCACACGCGAGAGACGGTTTTTAAGGATTGGTCAATGTAAGTAAATACTTGCTCCAGTGTTGGTTAGAGGTTTGAACTAGTCTCCTGATGTGTGTTAGCATTTCATTTCTGGTTTTAGATGTGTAAATGTTGTCAAAGCTGGTGTGTCTCAAATCCCCATTCTTGCATTGTCTATATTTTTTTGTTGCCTAAAAAGGGTTTCATCTCCCAAAACAATACATTTCAGTGGTTGAATGTTGTCTGGTCAACACTTTGTCAAGTTTGATGTAATATGTGATGTAACACGTTTGGTTCAACCCAGATATTAGGTTGTACATTTATTATTTTTCGTATCAATATTTTGGAGTAGTGTGTATTCTTCGTAATTGTATGTACTTATAAGTGGTAGAAATCGTCAATTTTACCAAAGGAATTCCGTGAGAGGCGATATTCGTCTCAATGTCACATGAACCGGCCCGATTTGTTTTTCAAGAATTTATTTACTCGTACTATCTTTCAAGGGTATACCCGAGTTCAGTTTTTGACAATTGTGTTGTGAGGCAATTATACTAAACATAAGACCTAAGTTGTCACCAGTTTACGATCAAAATCGAATTTATTTTTTCTCAGTGACTGAGACTTAAGTTGTCACCATGCTCTTTTTTTTTAAAAGAAAAAGAATTTATTTACACTGTGCTATTCCATATTTGTTTATTCCTGGAGGAAAACTGCAGACATAATCGAAATGAGCTGTAAATGGCAGAAATGGCGGCGGGTACTGGTCAGGTTTCAAAATTATTATGGGGTTTGTTACAACAATTAAAGTCCCATCCTCAGCTGCGCTCATGTCCCATGCCGCACCAACCCCCACATTGTTTTTTGCCCAAACTCACTATATGTTCATTTTTGTTCATAACCAACTTTTAATTGTTTTACTTTACAAAATTGAAAAAAAGAAAAGAATGGTAGAGTATATTTTGTAAATAGCTGTTCTAGGCTTACGATCACAAAGTTAAGTCATATTGGCCAAAATGTTTCCCCAAAAAATTAAGGTTTATCATATAAGGTTTGATGAAAATAATCACGGTTGCAAATGAGGATAAAGAGGTTTTCCTTATATTTGATTTAAGAAATTTGAAGGAAGAATGTGATTTTATCTCATTGTTTCCTTAATAAAAAATAATGTTTCTCATTCTAAAATGAATATAAAATATATATTTTTAAAATTTAGATAAAAAAATATGCCTATGTTGAAGCAATGCAAAGGATGGTGCACTCATCACCAAATTTAAGTGTTCAATTTGACACTAGTGCGAGTAGTGCCCATTCCACCACTATAAATGATACTCCACATCTTTTTTTAAATAAAAAAAATTCCGAAATAAAAGCAGTATAAAGCCGAACCAAATAATTAATGGTTAATATATTTTTTATACGAAATCAAACCGAACTCAAACCTTATTTAACTTTCTGTTTGTCTTCATGCTACAGTTACACCAAAAAATATACCCCATTTATACACCACAGTTATGCACAAACATTTTGATGGTTTACACCGACACAAGTGTTGGTGCGTTAACAAAAATTTACACGGACACAAAGTGTTGGTGCATTAACAAAAATTAGTTTTACACCAACACAAAATATTAGTGCAAACCTACGGGTACAAATTAAGGTATAAATGTTGGGGTACACATAGCTTAATCCTTAATTTTAAGCTAAAGTGGAAGTGACAAAACCGAAAATGAAGGGTGAGAGGACATAATTGGAATTAAAAAAAAGAGTAAAAACAGGACCGAACTCGAATAAGAGTCGCGCACATTGAGAACACAGAAAGAAAGCAATTGATTCGCCAATGAAAAGGGGATTGGAAGTTGCAGTAATTTCAGCGGCGGCGAGCAGTAAACTCTCTCTGTGATTGGTGAAAACAGGTTTAATTTCCTCATCATCAAGAACCCTTTTTTTTCCTTCTATCTGTTGTAATCCAATCTCTGTCAAATTCTAATTTACTGATTTACCATCTCTCAGTGATTGTTTGGCCGGCTCTGTGAGAAGGCCCTTGGGAACGGGGTTACTTGGTGTTCATTTCTGGGGTGCATTAGCATTTTTATCTTTTTACCCCTGCAAGTTTTTTTTTAATCTTTATACTAGGTTGTTATTGTTGATTGCTACCACAAGCACTCATTGTGTGACCATTTTGTCCTCTTCATTGTGGGGGTAACGCTACTTTACCCCCAAGTTGGCACCATGACTACCCCCCATAGACGGTCATTATTTATGAGAAATTATTGTTTATGAAACGTTGACGGTGTCAAACTTAGTGTTGGTGTGAGCGTAGGATGGTCCCTATTGTTGATATGGATATTTTAGTGTGGAATCTTGGAGGGTCTCTTGGTCAGAAAGATTATATCTTAATTGTTTAAATTGCCTAAAGATTAATTGCTTGTCATCCTTTTAATAATCTAAACACACACACATATCAATAGTTGCCTCACTTTGAAAATTAAAGAAGAATACCAATAGCATATATAGAAAGATGATGTCATACCTATCAGCTTAAGCTTTTTAGGTTATAATGGTTGCCGACTCTATGTGCAAGTGATTAATTTTATAAGAAACTTTATCTGTTGTTCTCGACCTACCGGAATTTTAACAGTTGAAATTGGCTAAAGAATGATTGCTTGTCATCCTTTTAGTAATCTACATAAATGTGTGTCAATGGTTGCCCCAATGAGACATCTTTTGCTTCACCTTCTTCTCTGCACTTGCCATTTCATGTTAGGTCTGGTTTTACAGATAGATCAATCCAATACAATACAAGGGTAATCCAAAACCATTATATGTTACTCTCCAAAACATGTTTCACATGAAGACATTATATTATCGAACCGTATACGCGTTTCTTTGCATTGAGGTCTTTTTTTTACTTTGTGCTAGCTACTTAGTTTACTTTGTCTATTTTTTCTTGGAAACCGCCTCTTCTTCCTGAGTAGGGGCAATGTCTGCGTACACACAAACTCTACTTTTGTGGGATCTTGCCATGTTTGTGTGTTTGTTGTACACGTGTTGGTATGCATGCAGCCATCCTAACTGCTCAGGACAGGCTTATAAAATATTCACACCTTTGTTGCTCAATAATTGGGTTTGGGAGGAATTAATTGGTCTGTTCCCCCACCTCTATGCATGCACCCCACTCCTAACTCTGCAGCTTGTGTGAAGTAAGGGTTCGTTTGGTACACGGAATTGATTGAATTGGAATTGAATCGAAAGTTCATATTCTATGGGATTGATTTGGATGGAATTGAATTCTCCAATTTCATTTCATTTTTGGTACTACCAATTCCAAATCCACATTTTTTTGCGCTACCAAACAATAGAATTAGAATTCTTGTCTCCAGTTCCAATTTCATAGTTTGAATTCCGTATACCAAACAAAGCCTAAGTGTTTATAATTACTTACAGAGAAAGGTAAGAAGTGAAAGTTATTTATGAAAAGACAAAAATGACCATGCTTTTTTTTACAGTTTTACCCTTTCCCATATACTTCTCAGTTTTACTACAGTCTTGACTGTGAAAGTTGAACCATACTGATTGAAAAGCCTTTATTTGCTTGTACAGAAATGGTTCAGAAGCAGTGCCATCTATGCACCAAGTTGTGTTGGTGAGGAAATGACCATTAAAAGGATGGAAAAAAAGTGACACTATGGAAAAACAAGGTATGGGGTGCTTCTGTCTTTTTACAAATGTGCAATGAATTTATTTAGAGGTCCAAGTTCTCTGTTTCACTAATAATCTTTTACCATTTGCATACATGGACTTTAATTTGTTACACACTGCAGTATTCATGAATAGGGATGTGCAAGAATCTCGATTCCGTTGTCCCGTTCCGAAATATCCCGTTTCGTTCGGGACGACAAAATTTAGTCCCGAACCCATCCGGAATTGATTTAAAATGGAATGGGACCGGGACAAATAAAAAGTATCATGTATCCCGTCCCGTCCTGTTGTACAGTGTATTTATGTTTACACTTTAAACCAGAATATTATTCGCATTACTTTTTTTAACCAATTTTTATTTTTACATTTTATAAAAAGTTTAAATTAGGACATTCCGAACCGATCGAAATTGTCCCAGTTTCAAAATTAAAGGGACAAAGTAGGACAATGTCACGCCGCGTATCGTTCCAACTTGTTTCAATAAAACGGGATTGGGACGGGACAACTACAAACCGAACCGTTCTGACCCGTGCTCACCCATATTCATGAACAATTACATTATAATGCGATTCTGTTGAAAAATACTCTAAATTGGTCTTGTTTGAAAATAATATTAATTATTAACATTATCATTTTAGATAATTTTTTAATGGTGCAGATTAACTTTAAAATGTTAAAACGTCAAGAAAAACATTCAGTTTTAATTCAAACCCAGGATGCGTTTGTACGACTGTTTGGCAACTTCTGAATGGGTAAGTGCTGAACCAGTAAGAGGTCTGAACCATTAAGTGCTGAACCAGTAAGAGGTCTGAACCATTAAGAGCTAGTATATTGCTTAACTATTCAGAGGCAAATGTCTGATCAATTCAGATAAGAGGTTTTAACCATTCAGACTCTGTATAATACTTAACCATTCAGACATCTGAACCATTAAGAGGCTGAAACAAACAGTCTGAACCATTAAGTGCTGAACCATTCAAACATCTGAACCATTAAGAGGCTGAAACAAACAGCCCCTAAGTTTCAGCTGTGCAATGGTGAGAAATTACCCTTATACTAAAATATCATCATTTTTTTTACAATTTTATCACATTTTCCCCCAATCCCGACAGTAATAACGATTCTAATAAGTTTCTGTAGCCTTTGTCTGACGCCTTCAGAGGCTGGTCCCATATTATTATGTTGGATAAACTATTTAGTTATTTATTGTTCAAAGAAATATATATTCTCCCTTACAAGTTACAACTTATGATAGTAAAAAGGGACAGAGATTACCATCCTATAAGATAAGTTTTTTTTGTTGAACTTACTAGAGAGAAAAAAATATGAATAAATTTCATAAATAATCTTTAATTACAGAGGATTATTTATTTTTAGTTCCTAATGATAAAATAGTACATAAATGATTTTTAATTTTTAAAAAATATTTCATAAATAATCTTTTAGGCCAAATATGACAATCTTTTTCCCCCAAAAATAGTCCCTCAAAGACTGAGTATTAAATAATTTTTAAAAATTAGATATCATTTATATAATATCTTAAAATTGAGGACGAAAAATAGAGAACACCTATAATTTGTGGTTGTTTATTTAATTTACTCAAAAACAAAATCTATTTAATGGCATTACCATTTTTCGAGTCACTATATATATAACTCAAAGTTTAATTAATTTATACCCCATCCCATCCATTTGGATTTAGTTCACTTTCATTCTTTGTCTAGAACTAGGTTTCTACTTTTCATATTTAATAATGAAAATTATGATGAATTATCCAAAATATGTTTAAGAGTGGGTTATGTGTGTGAGTACTCATTTGAAAAGCTTAATTATTTTACTGGATACATTTTAAACTCATTACTATAAAAACGACACTTTCTTAACTTCACCTAACTAATCCTAGGTCCAAACGTACAGTTGACCTAGAGTAGCTTTAGTCAACCTCAGCAGACTCAAAACTTACCATTTAAGGCTATAGTGAATACTTCCTTGGTCGCAAAATGATATTCCAAAAATTTTAGTGGAGAAATAATTTTGTATTGAATTTCCAAAACTATTCATGATGTGATGTGTAAATTCTGAGTAAAATATATGATGTGATAAGTAGGCTAAAAATTAGTTTGGATAAAATTCACTTTTTAATAGAAACGGAAATAATTTTGAGGGATAAGTAAAATAGGGGAATGGAAAAGGATTTTTTTTATTAAAAATGAACAACTTGTTTACTTTCCCAAATAGGAAAAAAAGTGTGAATTCCAAAATGACTGCAAACCCTATTTGCCACCCAATTATAGTATTTATACCTCTCACATGCCCTTCTGCCTCCAATCTGCATATACTTTGGCTATAAAAATTCAAACTTTTTTTTTTTAAATTTTCTTTTTCATTCTCATCACTACCATATAAAACAAATCAAACTACAAATAAAAAAAGAAGATGGGAGGAGGAAGGGGCTTAAAGCAAGGAAAAAAAGTTGTTGGAGGTATGGAAATAGAAAAACAGGGTGAGAATTTAACTCAAAACCATGAGAACCCTGTTTCTGGTGCACATATTAGAAGCCTGGTGAAACAACTCTCTTCTTCTTCACCGCCGCCGCCGCCGCCATCACCGCCGCCGCGTAAAAAACAAGCCCGGAGGAGGCTGCACACCACCAGACCGTATCAAGAACGGCTCCTGAACATGGCGGAGGCGAGGCGGGAGATCGTGACCGCTCTGAAGTTCCACAGAGCAGCCAAGAAACAACACAGGCAACAAGAACAAGAACAAGAACAAGAACAACCTCGGAGGGAGGAGGAGAAGGACAGGCTTGTTCTTCCATTGCCACCACCCCGACCGCGGCGGCCATCAGAGCAAGAACCAAACCTCTGTTCCTCATGGGCGAATGGCTTTTCCGATATCGCCCCCGCGGGTTTCCGCTCGCCCTGCCTCTTCTTCCCTCCTCCGCCGCCGCCGCCAGCACTCTTCCAAGAAAGCCTCAACTTTCCACTTCCAAACCAAACATTGGGATTGAACCTGAACTTCCAAGGCTTTGACCATTTGGATGCATCTCCATATCTACCCAGCTGCAACAACCCATCAATTTATGCATCATCCCCGTCGTCTTCTTCGTCGAATTACTGCTCTGTTTCTTCAGGGCTGCAACATCACCATCCATCTCTGGGTGAGAGGGAGATATCAGAGATGAAGTCGATGGGGGAGAAGCACCAGATGGAGTGGAATGACAGCATGAATCTGGCGACTTCGGCTCTGTGGCTGGAGTTCTTGGAAACCATGGGGGAGGAGAAGAGAGGCGGGGAAGAAGATGATGGTTATGGATGCTATCACCCATTTGATGAAGCCATGGAATTCCCGGTTTGGTTGAATGCAGGAGACGAGAGCTGCTTGGAGCACAACTTGAATGTCAATTTCTCTGATGATTTTTGCTTCCAGAATCCTGCCTTGCCATGGTATAATCTTTTCTCCCTTCCCTCTGTTTCCCTGTTTTGCTTTCTGATTCTTTTTTTACTTTCACCATAAATTATAACCTCTGTCATAAAATATTTGACAATCAAAATTTAATCATTTTTTTTACTTATTTTCGTTAGTTATTTGATAAAAGAATATAGTCTTGTCACCTCTCTTTTTTTGAACTTTTGATATAGCTTTTAATTATACAAATTTTATTTTTAAATTTTACACCTATAATCAATAAATTAAATTAAAAATAAAGGCGGTCAAACATCGTAAACGAAAACGGGAAGAGAGTTTTAGGAGGGAGGGATATTATTTTTTTTCACCAGACTTTAAAAGTCAGTGTATTTATCCAGTTTGACTTTTATGCATTCTAGTTGGACAAATTTTGACCATAAGTTTATTATAAATTGCATTATATATTAGTACAAAAATTGTTCAATTAGATTATTCTTGTAAAGTATTTTCACAAAATTATTGTAATTTATTAATATACAATAATATACTACGGAGTACAAAGTACTTTGGATATTTATTTAATTGATGATCAAGGTAAGATAATAATAATAATAATAATAATAATAATAATTATTATTATTATTATTATTATTATTATTATTATGAATGTTACTATTATTAAGGGTATTGCTAAATCCACTCCAATTTTGGCTAAATCTACTCCTTTTATGATAAACAGACAATTTTGTCCTTAAAAAGTTGACCATTCATTTTCTCTTTTATTTTTTTAAGGGTAAAATGATCAATTTAACATAAATGAAGTGGATTTAGCCAAAATGGTACTAGACATAACAACACCTTATTACGAGTATCAATTATCACCACAGTTTTTTAAATATTTCATAATTATCTCAATTTTTTTAAAAAATTATGCATTTTTTTAAATTCTTTATATTGATTTATATACCTAAAAAAATTATTTCATAATTTAAAATGAAATAATATAATAGATTTAATACATATTTTTTGATATTTTAATTTTATTTAATGCAAAATGCAGGTGTTAATATGAATTTAAAAATTTTAAAAATCAAAATTATAACCTGTTGGATCAATCCGAACCCGATGACACTGGGTTATTAACATAAACTTCTCAACCCGAACTCGAATTGATCCGTACTCGAAGTGACGGAACCCGACCTGACCGACCGATTTGCCAGCTCTACTTGGGGTCATCCTAGATTTTAGATGGGGGCAGCTGCCCAAAGTACAAAAAATTTATTAATTTTTTTGTGTTTAACATTAAAAGTTAGTAGGGGTATGGCTACAAAAGAAATAGATAGTAGGGGTAGATCACAATTCAATGAACAAGTCTGTCCAGTCTTGTCTTCTAGCTAGTGTGTTCTTTCTTGTAATTTAAGGTAGGATAAACATTTATGTTTAGCTCAATTGGATGACCATTACATTTTTTGTAATATAAGAAAAGATACGTAACTAGAAAAATAAATGTGAGAAGAGATGAGGTAGAAGATGGAAATAAATATAAATGTGATAATTATGCAATATTTAGCCAAAAATGGGTGTCAAATTATCACTTTGGGGCACTAGGGTCTTCCGTTGGACTCTGTGGTCTACCGTACTACCCGTAAGTCCCTAACCCCCACAAACCCAAACTAAAGTTTCACCAAATGTAGTGTTTTACTACTCTTTCAACGTATTGTGAAACTGGGGTAACTTATTTATGACTAGTGGTAGAGATAAATACAATACAAATAGATGAGAACAAATTTATGTATAGATAATACTACCTCCGTCCCTGGGTATTTGTCCAGTTTTGACTTTTTTTCGGTCAACTGTTTTCAACCTTTGACCTATAATTAAATAAAATATATATTGTATTTTAATTAAATAAAATAATATTTTGAAAATATTTTTGATATAATAATTCTAATAAAACTCTTTTTGTATCAATATCTAATATCATTTTTATTTAATTTGAGATCAAAGTTTATCAATTTTGACCAAAAAAAGTCAAAAGTGGACAAATACTCAGGAATGGAGGGAGTAACAAACTTTTCAAAATAACCCAAAGAGATATGTCTGAAATATTTAACCAAAATGAATTTTTAAAACCTTGTTTTGTTAGTTTGTGAGGTTCCATGCCGAAAATGATGCAAGCAAGGCGGCATTTTTTATTTATCAACATCTTTTCTGAACCTTAGCAATGAGGAATCCGAGATTCGCTCCTATTGGTTCTTTGTTGTGGCAGTGCTTTTCACAATTTTTAAACAAACCAAATTTGGGCATGGCCCACCTCTACCCCACCTACCCACCCCATCTAGCCGGGTCGGGTTTAGTCCGGATCATGACCCAAACCCAAATTTAGATTCGTTTATTTTAGGCAGATTCGTACCCGTACATTTTATCCGTCAGGATCCTTTTTAAATAGTGCATGAGGAGTTGACCCCTCAGACCATACCCTGGAGGTGAATGAAATTTAAATCTCAAACTAGGCAACAAGAAGTGAGATATGTCTATAGTCCCGGCAATGAGTTTACGCAAAATATACAAGTTCTACACGGCTTTCGCGAGGAGCTGAACCCGGCCAAAACACCATTTTGCACCTCTTGTTGACACATAGTATTCACTTACACGATATGTTGACCATGATTGCATCCAAGCGTACGTTTATTTTGTTAGCTTGCGGTAAAAACAACTTTTCAAATATTTCAAAACCATATTTCACCTTAAATTGTGGTAAAAAAAGTCTTTAATCCTCTTTAATTATTTATACATTTATTTATGTATTTTTTGTTATTTTAATGCAGCATTGAGGAAATCCAAGGAAACGAGGTGGAGTGGCTAACAGGAGAGGATTGAGTTGATTATTCTCAAAGTCATTTCACAATCAATATTTTCACACCAAATTTTGTTTGTAGGCTCTTTTATTTTGAGTTTTTATATGTTTTGGCCTCTTCAGTTTTCAAATTTTGCACCTCAACTTAATAAGGGCTTTGGTAAAATTTTGTTCCCCCTTTTGATTTAGCACATTTGTTAATAAAATAAAAAGTGTGCAATTATATTTGATGGATATTTATCCACGAAATGCCTTCCTCTCTTATAGAGTTATAGTGGAAATGTTATACTCCTTCCGTCCTAATTTATAGTGCCTGTTTCGGTTTACAATGTTGACTGAAATTATTTTCAAATCATTTTATATGAAAATTGGATAGAGTTAAAAAAAATTACATATTAAAATACTACATCAAAAGATTTACAAAACTAATAGCGACAATAGTACTTTATTTTATCAAATTTCTAACAAAATAGAGAAAGAAAGTGAATGAAGTTTGACCATGTGAATAGTGAAGATGTACTATAAATAGGGACGAAGGAAGTATATTTTAGTGTAATTAGAAAAACTATTGATCAATGACATTGAAATAATCATCAAAGAAGTTTGGTGGATCGGAGTGCACGCTTCATTGAGTTTGTTATAATAAAAGTTCCGTTTCTAACGGAGGTTTCAAGGGAACAACGCCCTCTTGGCGAGGGTTCGGGGGCAGCGCCCCAGAGTAGGGTGCAAGGGGTGGCAGCCCCTGCAGGGTCCAAGGGGCATAGCCCACTGAAAGTTTTTATTTTGGATAAAGTTCCGTGTTAAAAAATTCACTTGAATTTTTAATTTTCGGAATATGGGTATAAACAAATTTCCAAAAACATCGTCACTTCTAAGTTTCGCGTGATTATACACGAACTTTAGAGTAGAAGATGCGACTGCACATCTCTTTTCTCCGCTTCTATAAAACTCCGATAAAGTTTGGTCGAAAAGGACAGAGGCAACACATATTTGTTCTTGATCAATAATGTTTGAGTTTTATTCAATAGATTTTGGGGTGAACATCCAAATAATCAATCTGAAAATGTTTGCACGTCTCTCAAACAAATCCGTGTTATCTTCATTCTTCCCGAACAAGAAATACTTTCCTCCATCACCTTTTAGATGGGCCTTGCTTTTGGGTTGCGATACCCCTTAGCCCATATTGTGTGGGCTCATGCGTCACTTCCGGACTTGGCTACTGCAGTCCCACTCATGCGGGCCTCTCCTAATGGGCAGGACTTGAGTATGACATCTTGAACTTAATTATAATCAAATTGTGGGCCTGTTTGGGAATAGCGTTAGAGATTAGTGTTAGCGTTTTGGATAAAATTTTAACGGCGCAGATTACTTTGAAAACGCTAACGCTAAACGCTGGCCGTAGATAGCTTTTTCAAAATGCTAACGCTAATCTCTAACGCTTTTTCCAAACAGGCCCTGTATCGACTTAGGAGCGGTCTAGCGGGTGTGTATCGGGCCTCAATTTTAATAGGGCTCAAATAGTTTTAGATATTTATCGTTCTAACTATTTCATACGGAGTACTACCTCCGTCCCAGAGTTTTGTCTACTTTCATTTTTACACATCATCCAATGCACTTCTTTAATCCATTTTATCTTGTAATTTGTATATTAAAAAATTATAGAAATTATATATTAATAATCTATATGTTAAGACAAATCAAACAAGATCACACATGAATATATTTATGTTTACACATTGAGAGAATTTGATGAGTCAAAGTACTTAGATGAACAGTTCCAAAAGTCAAAACTGGACGAATACTCCGGGACGGAGGGAGTATTTTTTAAATGGATACATATTTACATTTTAATCGTAAAATTTTTGCATAATTGATCGTAAAAACTAATTTAGCATTTATTTCAAAATATAAATAGTCCACACTCAACGAAATATACAATTTGTAGTGAATCATGTTTGTCGATCAGCGTATGCATGTACCCATAGAACAATATTTTCAGTCTTTGAAATAGATTTTGCAATACATTAAAGGAACACTTGACCAGGGACTAGGGGTCGATTTTTTGAGAAGGCACTATGGTGTTACAGGTCTATTATGGCTTTGATTGGGCAAATGATATGATATTGAGTACCTTAAGTCCTAATCTTATTTTTTGAAGTACAGAGAAACAAAGTCGAGTCTTTAAATCACCCACCGAGGCAGGGTATCCTGCCATTTCATCCGCAGCTTCTGAAGTAATGTGGCTCTCTTAAGTTTTTTTAACATTGTACGGATCGAGCTACCTCCTCCACATGTGTTCTATGATATATAATCAGGCAGCTACTTGTCAGACTAAGAATCCTATGTTACAAGCGCATGAAACATGTCGGTTCTAACTGTAATTTTGTTCAAGATCAAGTAATTGATGAGACACTGTCTCATATGTTTCTTTTGCTGACTTGTTAGCCGGCCTACTCACCAAGGCACTACCATCTCCTTAATATACAGCTCTTGTTTTCAAGATTCCTCTCGTTTCATGTCGTTCATTTTGAGGGGGATGTTGACCAGTAGTAGTATTCTTATCACTTATGAAAATATTCGATTATGATTTTGTTTTCTTAATAGGATGCTTTGTGATTATGTTAGAAATCTCTCTTATGTATAAACTATTGTATAATTTAAAATCCTTGACTAAATACATTATTTCATTATCCAACAAGATGCATACTTAATTCCTCCATTCATAAACAAGATAAATGTGAACACAATAATATTTCTCCACATTCATTCAAAATACTCCCTCCGTCCCAAAAAGTCCGACACGTTTCGAAAAAACTGCGTCCCATAAAGTCTGTTACATTTCTATTAAAAAACCACTTTTACCTCTTACTTTTTCATACCCTACCTATCACATCATACTTTTTTCCTAATAATCTACCCATCACATCCTACTTTTACCCATCACATCAAGGATATTTTTGGAAAGTCAACACCAAAATATCCCTCCCTTAATTTCTCAAAAAGTCAATATGTACCAATCTTTTTGGGACGGAGGAAGTATAATTTATCTAAAAAAAATTACTCCGGTATAATAGACACTTTAGAAATAGAGTATATGATAAAACTTAAACACATGCAAGATAAAACTAGTGCCTATAATTATAAGTGTGCTTGAAATTAATAGCTAAGCTAGAAATAAACTTCTCTCAACTTAAACCATTATTACAAAGTCCAATAAGATGAAACGAGCTAGCACCCACAAGTGTTTAAATCATTAAAAGACATAAACATTATAAGTACGTGGTTTAATTTGTTACCAATGATACATGATAATGCATGCAATAAATTAAAATATTCAAGCTGAGCTTCCATATATCAATTATAATTAATTTAATAATTCTGAGTCGAGAGAGCCTGCGGATACGCATCAATGCGGTCGACCCAAGGGTTAAGAACCGGCTTCTTGACGCGGCGGACCGCCTTCCACACGGCGCTGTTGCACTTGAGCCCGGACCCAAAGGCAATCTGCCAGATGCGGTCCCCGCGTCTGACGACCCCCTTGGCCTCGAGGTACGCGAGCTCGTACCAGATGCTGCTGCTGGAGGTGTTGCCGAAGCGGTGGAGGGCGGCGCGCGACGCCTCCATGTTGGCGTCGGTGAGGCCGAGGTTGCGCTGGAGCTCGTCCAGGACCGTCTTCCCCGCCGCGTGGACGCAGAAGTGGTCGAAGGCAAGCTTGTAGTCGGGGATGTAGGGCTTGTTTGGGGATCTGTTGTTGTTACTGTTCTTGTCCCCGCGGTGGAAGAGGCGGGAGAAGACGAGGTTGGCGAAGAAGATGAGCTGCTCGGAGAGGGGGAGGACGAGCGGCCCGAGGGTCGTGATGTTCGTCTTCAGGGCGTCGCCGCCGACCTGTATCAACTCTTTGCTAACCCTCAGCCCCTTGTTCCGCTCTGCATCTTCGTCCTGGTACACGCACCTGTAATATTAAAAGTTTTACAAAACAAGTGGTGACGATAAAAAAATATTTAAAATGAAAAAAGGAAACTTTATTTAATTGAATGTGAGGACGCCGGCCGGGTAGGAAGGGTCATGATAATGAATGAATAAATGCGAGGGATCAATTAACATGGGGTGGCGTGGGGTACCCTATGGCAGACAGAGGTTATAAATTAGGGCAGTTGGTAGGTGGTTTAATTTAATTTGTAAGCCTCAATAAATTTAAATGGCTGTCACACCACTTTACTATTTTCTCTTTTTTTAAAAAAAAATTAATTCTCCACAACCAATATCTACTTTCTCCTCCGAGCAGGCACTTTGAGAAAATTGTTAACTTTTGCAATATCTTATGACAAAGGTATTCCCTCCGTTTTTTAAAACACTTCCTCCTTCATTTTTTTCACTTCCAACAAAACACTTCTACTTTCTATTAAAAAACCACTTTTACCCTTACTTTTTCATACCTTACCTATCACATCATACTTTATCTCTAATAATCTATCCATCATATCTTACTTTTACCTATCACATTAAGGGCAAAATTGGAAGTCAACTACAATTTAATACTTCCTTATTTTTACACAAAGTCAAAATAGGAACACTTTTTCCAAACGGAGGGAGTAGTTTTTTAGTGACAAGAAAAAAAATTTATCATAAAAGATTATTTTCAATGATATGGTACTCTAGAGTTGTAATTTGGATTTACAATTAAAACAAAATATATTTGAGTTGCTTATGGAATTGTTTAGGTGATATGACACTATGCGAACCATGATACTCCCTTTATCATGTTTTAATTTCATGTTTTAATTTTTTTTGTCGAATTTTGAATTTCTTTGGTTATAAATTAAACATAATTTAAATAAATAAATGTTATAAAAATTTGAAATATCAAAATTATATCGCAATATAAACTTAATTACATTGATCAAATTTACATTATAATCAAACATTTTTTTTCTATTTATAGTTAAAGAATATCATTGTTTGACAAAAAAAAGTCAAAACAAAAAAGTTTACGGGACAAAGATAGCATAAAATATGAATATATTCAAATAATATTAATGTGACACTTTTGCAATGAAAAATTTAATGAAGAATTCTAGTGAAGAATGTTAGGTCGAGCTTCATCCTACAAAATACATTATCTATTATACCTCCAATAGAATTTTGACACGTTTGTAGAATCACTTTTATTTTGTTATTCCTAACGGTCAAAGGGTTAAAATTTTAGATTGTACGGAGTAAAAAATACGGAGTAACAATCTTCAATGAACACTTTAACCATCAATGCTCGGGAAATTAGTATTAAAATATATGTTATTTTTTAATATAGTATTTAAACTTCTTTTATTCTCTGCCTAAATAATACTTGAATAATGTCTAATTGTGGGAACAATGTCATGTGATGGTCGACATTTAATTTGAACAATGTACGGTAGCGGTGGAAATTTATTTGAACAATGACTAGTAGTACTGATATTGGAAAATAAAAATATACAGTACTACACTGAGAAAATCACTATATTTTAGTACCATTTAGACGAATTTCTCCTAACACTCTAGTTATATGTATATATAGAATATAAAAATATGATATTTTAAAACTACGTTTCAAAATAAATGTATTCGTATTAAACTTACATCACAATTCAATATTTTTTACCCAAATTTGTTGTCAAAGTTTTAAACGTTAAGAAAGATATGGAGTCAAAGGAGAGAGATAGAAAAATACCCGAAAGCGCGGTCGTCGGCGCCTTTGTGAGTGCGGACGATGTGCTCGAGGCTGTACTTAGCGCGGCCGTAGTCGCGGCGGCGGTTGGAGAGGAGGACGGCGGAGCAGCCCATCCGGAAGAAGCAGTTGGGGACCAGCATGGACCTCTCCTTCCCCGGGTACCAATTGAACCCCACCATTTCCGTACTGACCACCAAGGCATAGTTGTTAGGGTTTGCCTGGAGCATGTCCCTGGCCAGGTCTAGGGCTATGACCCCTGCACTGCACCCCATCCCCCCCAAGTTGAAGCTCAAGATGTTCCCCCTCATCTTGTAGTGGTTGATGATCATGGCGGAGAGCGACGGGGTCGGGTTGAAGATGCTGCAGTTCACGACCAGGACCCCGACGTCCTTCGCCCTGATCCTCGCCTTCTCGAGCACCTCGTCGATCGCCCCGAACATCACCGCCGACGCCTCCGCCCGCCCCTCCTTCATCGTGGCCGTCCGTTCCGGCGACCCGATCGACCTCGGGACGTAAGTCTCGTCCCCGATCCCCGACGACTCCAGGATCCTCTTCTGGAATTCCAGGCTCGCCTCGTCGAACTTCCCCGATTTCCGCGCCATCTCGATGAACTCCTCCTTTGTCACCTAGTATTAGAGTCATATCCGATGATCAGTATTTGTCCAGTTTTAACTTTTTCAGAATTAACCGCTAATTAAATAAAAATTATACTCCCTCCGTTTTCTAAAACTCATCCTCTTTCATTTTTTTTGTTTTTCTTAAAACACTTCCCTTTTCTATTAAAAAACCACTTTTACCCCTACTTTTTCATACTCTACCTATCACATCATACTTTTTCACTAATAACTAAACTATCACATCTTACTTTTACCCATCACATCAGAAGTAAAATTGGAAAGTCAACTAAAATTACACTTTCCTTATTTTTCCCCAAAGTCAAAAGAGGAACCGTTTTGAAAAACGGAGGGAGTATCAGATATTGATACAAAAGTAATTCTGTTGAATTTATTTTATAAAATATTTTCAAAATATTATTTTATCTAAAAAAATATCATAAAAATTTTACTTCGAAGTCAAAAGTTGAAATTGATTGACTGTAAAAAATTAAAACTCGATAGATTAAATACTCGATGAATTTAGTTTATAAAATATTTTCAAAATATTGTTATATCTGATTAAAATATTTTAAAATTTTTAATTCGAGGTCAAAGACTGAAATTGATTGAGTGCAAAAAATAAAAACAAGACAATATTAGTTAAATTGTTCTTATTTTATTTCTTGTGTCAAAAGTATTTTTTATATTTTAATAAATTTAAGATACTCGGCTGAAAATAATTGATTGATTGAATATTATACCTTGAGATCATCACTAGGCTTGAAGCAGGCAAAATCAAGGAGATAAATGGGTCTAGGCTTGGACATGAAATAGACCGAGACGGTGAACACAAGCAGCCCCACGAAGGACAGCACGGTGGCGAGGTCGTAGCTGGCGGTGCTGTCCCAAACCCGCCGCCACATCTCCGTCCTCCCGAGGCTGCCGACCTCCAGGCCGAACACCACGAGGAGGAGCGGGACGGTGGCGAGGTATACGCCGTGGTTGATGAGGTTGTGGTACCCGAGCTTCACGTACTTGAGGTTCACCGACTGCACAAAGTCCGGGAGCCGCCTCCTCACCCTGACGGAGAACGTCATTGTCCCGGCGTCCGGCCCCGACGACTGGACCCCGCGGTTGACGATCTCCGTCTGCAGGAGGTGCTGCTCCCCTGAAGCCATGCTTTGTTTTTTTTTTTTTTTGGGAGTGGAAAAAAAGAAGAAGAAGCCTGAAATAATGAAATGTATTTAAATGAATGATATGATAGGAAGTTAGTTGAATATATATAATGAGGGGTACATGGAAGTTATTTATAATGAAGTGAATAGAAAAGAAAGGAGAGTGTGGAGTTGTGAGGTTTGTTTATTTATTTTGGAAGATGAGCGCAATAAGGTCGAGATGGTACGTGACAGACTGACTTGCATATTATTATCATGGAGCATGCTAGATGTACCCTACAATTTGTACCACACATTTGTACACCAAAAAGTATACACCAACATTTGATGGTTCACACTGACACAAAATATTGGTGCATTAACAAAAATTTACACTGACACATAAAGTATTGGTGCGTTAACAAATATTAACATTACACTAACACAAAATGTTCGTGCATCTCTACCGTATACAAAATGGGGTACAAATTCTTGGGGCACAAATAGCTTTATCCTGCTATTATGGACTACTACATCCATTCCATATTAAATACTCCTTCCGTCCTAAAAAGATTGGGTCAGTTTGACTAAAGTGGTAAAATAAGGAGGGATAATTTTGTGTTGACTTTCCAAAAATACCCTTGATGTGATGGGTAAAAGTAGGATGTGATGGGTAGATTATTAAGAAAAAGGTATGATGTGATAGATAGGATATGAAAAAGTAAAGGGTAAAAGTGATTTTTTAACAGAAATGGGAAAGACTTTAAGGGACGCAAATTTTTCGAAACGTGACAGACTTTTTGGGACGAAGGGAGCATCTAATACTCTATCTGTTTGGGAAAACACTTCCTAATTTGACCAAATGACAAAATAAAGAATGATTAAATTGAAGTTGGTTTCCTAATATTATGTATACATGATGTGATAGGTAAAAGTAAGATTTGATGAATACATTATCAGTGAAAAAGTATGATATGATAGGTATGGTAAAAAAATAGAGGTAAAAATGATATTTCAAAAGAAAGACGTGGAAGTCTTTTGGTGGAAGAGAAAAATGAAAGAGAAAGTATTTTGGTGAACGGAGAGAGTAATACATTATTGATACATTAAAAAGGGAATGAATGTAGACATACCTTATATCCACATTCATTCATTTTTAATTTCAATGTATCAAAAATGTATATTTAGACTGTTAATATGAAACGAAGTATAAGAAACCACCAAAAATAAATACAAATAAATAAATAAATAAAATTGTGTATCCATTTTATTAATCGGGTTCCATCGGTTCTTTTGACAAAACTGCATTTAGACAAGTAGGGTGTTCTCTTTAAATAGGCATGAATAAGATTCTTACCATCCCTAACTCGCTAAGAGCAACTCCAGTGGATTATGTACATCGAAAAATATATACCCATTATGCAATATCATATTAAAATATCATATTCTTATATTACAAGTATGTATACTTATGTAGGGCATAATAGATATTAATGTAAACCGGCCTCATCAATATTGACCGGCCACTACATCATTTATCCTTTGTGCTAGGGAGCAGTGTTTAATTTACTCCCTATTCTATAAAAATTTATGTTCAAATTAAACTTCTTCAAGAGTAATTTCACATTAAATACCTTTACTATGTAAGAATAATTAAGGGTTAAATATAATAAAATTTCATTTTAATGATGACTAATTGTGAGTTTTAATTTGAGACAAATAAAGAGTGTTTTCATTCTTTGAAAGTCCACATCATCAAATGCATGATCAAGCATCACATTTATAGAGCAGATTGCATCAACTAATCACATGCATGTCGTAATAAGGGAGGAGATTTTTTTTTAATGCTATTGACTCTATTACAAGGTAGTATCTGTAAGGCAGGAGATTTAATTTGTCTAGAATTCCGTATTTAATTAGGTTACATAGAGCAATAAAGCAATATCATCACCCCTTGTGAAAATTAAGGGGTAAAAACGTCAAAAAACGATGACAACATAACAATTTAGCGTCTTATTTGAAAATTACAGTACTTTTTTTTTATTGGCATTGTTATTTATGATAAATTTTCGGACGGAGAGAGTATAATACTAATGACATATCGCAAAGTAGACAAATTAAATGATAGGCTGGTGGGCGTTGCGCAGTAGGAAAGACAAGGGGTGCTAATGGGGTAAGACCCGAGTTCGATTCCTGACAACTGAGCTGGGAGGCAATTATGCTAAGCATAGGGCCTCTGCAAGTACCAAGTACATGCTCTACTCTTTGCCACCAATCTGCGATTAAAATCTAATTTATCTCTTTCCAGTGACCGTCCGACCGGGCCGTCTGAGGAGGCCCTTGGGGATGAGGCTCATTTTTTTTTTGACAAATTAAATGATAGAGGGAGGTAGAAGAGACTTAATTGAATGGGGGGTGGGGAGTGGAAAGGTGACCAATTCGTAATTAATGGGACACCCCATAGCTCATCAACTGATTTGGCATGTTGTCAACTGCCCCTCTAATCTTTTTTGGAAAAACACACATAAATATTGCTACAAAGTTTGAGTTATCATATTTAAAAAAAATAAAAAGAATCCTAAAAGAACAAATATTGTGAAAGAATATTTCTAATAGATAAGTTATAAATGTCACAAAAATGGTTCGATTCAAGGAGCTGCGGAAAAGAATATTTGTAACAGGACTCTGTGACTACTTGCCCGGCTAGCAAGACTTTGATACCATACCAAGAAACTAATGCAATCAAAAGTTTATCAAATATTCTAGACGAAATAAATAAAGATCGAGAACCGATTCATTTCATAAATACAAGTGTTAAAGAGTATCCCACATTGGAAAAGTGTGAGAAAGAGAATCGATATATAAGCTCTTGAATTAAACTAACTAATTGATTGGATTCAATCTTTTAATGTGGTTCAACACAAGTGTCTTATTGCATGTCCCAATCCAGTTATCTCTACCCAATCCTAAATTCTATCAACAAGAAATCTTTAATTTCGACATTGATTGGGATTAATCTTCATATCTTGCTCCCTCTATAATTACATTGTGGAGATTTTTTTTATTTTTATTTTTTACACCCCGTCTCTAAAAGATAACTACAATTTGACCAAAGGTCTGGTACCCTCTGACCAAAAATTAAATATATTTTAAAATAATTAAAAACGGTAGTATCCTTTGACCAAAAACTTTGATATGCTAACTAAATATTTTTTTTCATAATTCACGGTTAGAAAGTGCTACAGTTTGGATTAGAAAAGTTATATTATGACAATCTTTTAAGGTGGGAGAATAAGATGGTTCAGGCTCAAGATGTCTACCAAGATAGATGAGAAAATGTGATTAGATGATGGGAGGAGTGAATATAAGAGATGACTCCCTCCCACTTGTCAACTGCCCTCTTCTATTCTAGCATTGATGGAGATGATCAGAGTAGTTAAATCTTCTGTTTGAAATTTGAAGCCCCACTCCATAAATACATATTCCGCATTCTATTCGTCCCGAATTAATCGTCTCAATTTGCTTTCACAGAATTTAAGAAAAGCATTACTGAAAAATAAAACGTAAATAATTGAAATTTAATTAGAGAAAAGAGGAATTAGATTACGTATTTTGAACTTTATGACAGAGTATAAAAAACTAAATAAATGAGATAATTAGAGAAAATAAAAATGATTAATTTGGAACGGAGGGTTCGGAGTTCAAAACAAGTGATCTCCTTATTCATTGTATCGTTGGTAATGGTATAAGTACGGGGCACACACATATTGAAGCAGCCTCGAGGAACACAATTGAAAATGCTTAGTTTTTTTTTTGAAATGTATATAGGTTATTTGGTTCTGATGTGATTCAATTAAGTTTCGATCTGATCTGCTTGTAGTTACATTATATTTAAAATTATTTCTGATCTGACCTGATTCTAATAAGATTAAACAACATTAAGTAAAAAGGAATAACAAGCTCTAGTCGAGTCAATACTCGTTTTAGTCCTTGTAACTGCACTCACAAGTCAATTTGGTCTCTGTAAGTTAATTTGAGTCCAATTGGTCTCTATAACAATGAAATACAAATCAAATTAGTTCTTTAGATTAAATTTGTCTACTAAAATTTTAAGTTATCATGGTAATTGATACAAATACTAATACATGGGGTTATTGCTATTGCTTCAATTAACATGCTAACTCAAAATTTTAGCCCATAAATTTTGTTCGAAGGACTAACTTGATCTATACTTCGTATTTCCTAGTTACATGGACTAATTTGGCTCAACTAAACTTACAGAGACTAAAATGAATATTAACTCTTATTCTCGCTCTAACGCTATAGTTGAGTTTCTTCTATAGAGAAAAGGAGAAATTCTACGGTTGAGTTTTTTTAAAAATGTACGGAGTTAATGGTTAAGTTGAGTTTTGTACAAAAAAAGAGAGAAATTACTACGGGGTATGTGAATTCATGCTTCAAAAAAAAAGAGAATCTTATTTAGTATAAAAAGTGATACTCCATAGATTTCAACAATAATTAATCTTATTGAATAATAAACTCTCAAAGAGTATATATAGATATTACATGATGTAGAATCATAAATAAGGGTACAACTATAAATATAATAACCCAAGAAGAAAGAAACTAAATAATCCGTAACATTAGGATTCTATTTCCTATTTGAAAGAAATACTCGGCATGAAAGTGTTTTGCGGAAAAGAGCAAATTGTAAAGTATATAATGACTACAATGTAAAAAAAGATTCATCGAAAACACCGGGACGGGAAGAGTATTAAGAAATTGATAAATGAAGTTAGACTAACCACGCTCAACTATGTGTCTGGAATTTATACAGAATTTTTTGTTAGCCACATTCTTTTCTAGAAAAAAAATGTGGAGAAGTGCAAAAGCTCATTTTTAAATGACAGAATGAAAGTGTGAAATTAATTGTATATGCCATCATTCACTTTCCCTGAGGAAAAGAAAATGTACCCTTTTTCAAACTAACTACATAATAAATTGCACAGGGAAACAAAACATGTTTTCATGGTACAACAGAGGTTGTATTCATACATAAATTTTTTAAGATTAGAAGATCTATTCTACATTGCCCTCCACCCCCACCCACCCCCGCCAAATGAGCGTGATTCAAATATACATGGCAGGGGTATGATACAAGGGTATTTTACAATGATATTGTTGAAAAATGCAGGTAGGAGAGGATAGATCATTTACCCGCAAGATGTACCGTTAATCAAGCTGCCAGAGAGAATGGAGACCATTTTGCGGGTGGATTCAAGACCATGGTTATTTACGCTTGGGATAATGTTCGCAGGTGATAAAAACTTAACAAACTTCTTAAGTTCAGAAAAGCTGCTATGCTCACTGTATGGCACTTCATACCTGAAGAAGATTAAGCAAAGAGATAATTCCATGGATATAAAAAAGAAATTGTATGGCAAGACCCAGCCAAATAACACTATAATTACAAACCAAAGACACCCTTTATTGCGGTGAGCAACAGTTCAGCCCACAACAAAGAGGATATCCAACTTTCAAGGAGATTCTCATTTCTCTATTCTCAAGGAGACAGCAAAGGAGATGGCAAAAAGGGTACATAAAAATGAGATTTTTACCTTATGATGGTACCCTGCTGCGATCTTTTTCCGGGATTTGATTTCTTTCCTTTACCGAAAGACCAACCAGTTGGAGAGAATGCAACGATAAGATTAAAACGGCCCTAGCAAATGGGGGGAAATATTGCAGCATCAGTAAAAGAGAACTCGTTGCAGGAGCATATAACTAGAATGTACTACAAGGTAATATAGCTATTCAAGAAAATTTTGATACAAAACTGAGAAAAGAAACATAAATGCAAATGGATTCATCTTACTACTAAATTATTACTAATTTAAAAAAATCTATGGTTCACCAAAGTATGAGTTTAAAGTTTTGGCAAGGCACAGCTCATATTTTACTAATCCTCTTAAATTACTCCGTATTAACTTTGATTGGTTGTTTGAGTCACCTTGTTGGAAAAAAATATTAATTTCAATGAAAAAAACATATTTTGTTTAAACATGACTCTTTTTGGACAAAAATCAGTTTTAAAACATGAGGGAGTAAGCGATATGGTTTGCAGCTTTACACAAGAGGGTGTTTGGTTTATGGAGTCTCGCAAAGTGAGTGATGCTTGAGACTGAGCAGAAATGAACTAAAAGTCATCTCCCAGAATCTCACATTACATCATGGAATATTACATTCATTTGAACTTTAAAGCAAATAGCAACATTTGTAGTTGATATGAGATATGTGAGCTCATAAAGTGAACCAACCACCCACAGTCATAGGTTTCACACAAATAAGTGATGTGTTACAATCCAACCTGTTACAATCAGCCTAATAGCAAATAATTATCCATGTGTTTAAATAGTTGAAAGATGTAATCAAAATATAGAGTGTGACAAAAGTTGGTTAAAGTAAAAACAATAACCGAGTATGATCCCGACTCCATTGGGGTGGGGAGTCAGAATATATGCAATCTTACTTTTGAAAAACAGAAAGGATTTTTCTGTTAGACCCTAGATGCATTGCTGCATTTACTTCTCAAAGAAAGTAAGAAGCAAGGGAAGTTTAATATGTTATTTTATTTTAGTCCATTATGTGCCCAAAACAAAAACAGTGTCAATACTCTCTTTTAGCTCCATTGGCAATGGACAGTGGTTAATGTTAAAACACAGGAAAAAGATGCAAAACTGTAAACACACACAAAAACACTTTTTACAGACCTGACGTAGAAGTAAGACCTTATTAATCCATTACCCACTCCAATGGCTTTTATAAATCCATCCAAAAGTTCTAAAATAAGGTTATATCAAATTTTGACAGTTCACAAAATATGAGGAATTATGCTCTAAGCTTACCATGTATTGGTTAGATATAAGTTTCAACCGCTTGAAGCTAGAAAGTGACCACAAAGGTACAACATGGATATGGCTCTCATGTTCATTCAATGTGAAAAATTGCATATCTTCGTCAGGGAACCCCAAGCATTGCAATATACGTAGCTTTGGTGCCGTGACATATATTTTCTTACGCAGAGCACGCGCAATCTCGACGTAAAGTCTTTCTTTTCCTGTCAACCATCAAATTTATAAGTCTTTCATTTTATGAGAGAATGCAGTTATAGATCCTTCCATACCATAAAAAGATATGGAAATTCTTTCCTGATAATATTTTGGCACTCTGTAATCGTGTTGAGTATCTTATAGAAACATTGCAAATGGTGGGGAAAAAATGCAAACTGATGGAAATGTGGAATTTACCTATAGTATAACTACCAATCAAGAATAATGTTTTTGGGTTGAAAGTTTCAGCTTGTATGGCTTCAATGACAAATTGTATTACAGTATCCTGTTTAGGAAAATCATACTGCAAAAATAAAGACAAATAAGCTTTCATCAGATGTAAGCATAGTTTAACAAAGAAAAGTGATAAAATAGATAGAACAGAAAAAGTGTGTCAACATGTAGCTCTAAATTTTTTTTTGCTCCCAAGAGCAACAACAACCTCTGGAGTCTGGCCTACCCACTAAATCCCACAAGCAGGATAAGAGTAATGGGTGTACAAAGACCTTACCCTACCTTAGAAAAAATAAAGAGGATGGTTCTGAAAGACACCGAGAACATTAAGAGATCAGAGATTGTGGAGGTTCTCGTTTACACTTAATGCCATTCAATCGTATCAGGAATATGATATTTTGTTGGTGTACCTGAGGGTCACAATACGTTGTGTCCAGGATGAGAGAATGGATTTTACAAGATCGAAAAACAGGAATGTTCATCATTTCATCACAAAAACGAAAATCTCCTGTATGCAAGACAGCCTGGTTCACGAGGAAACATAAAGTTAAAACGCCAGGCAAAAATTAAAAAGTAAAAAAAAGTATAGCTATGAAAATAGTAGAATGCCAAAGATGGGAGTATGGACCACAGTACCACACCTTACCACTCGGTGGCTCAAAGAGGATTATGATGGCACCTGGGCAGTGATTTGCATCAAAACAGGTGACATCAATTCCTGCAATGTTGATCTTCTTGTTAAGGGGCAAAATATCTATATTATCCCATGGAATTCCCATCTTCATATTCACAAGCTTTGCAGTCACCATGGAGCAATATATCTTCCCATGACAAAAGGACTTAGTTAAACCTTGATAATCTGCAGAAGCATGGAACAGCCATGTCATGTAACTAGGCAAAAAAGAAAACAAAACAAATGTTGAAGTCCAAAATCTACAGCACAAAAGAAGACTGACATTAAGAATCTATATCGTCACTGAATGTCACGTTACTAAATATTAACAGATTAACTAAAGCAGCTACATTTCTAACTCGATCTAAATGACAAGAGGCAGTTGGAAACCAAATGAAAGCTAAAGCTTCATTATCGATATATGTCAGGCTGTTTTAGAATGCTAAACTTCTCCACTTGTTTGAAGGCACCGTGCAACCCCAGGAGCCGGTAGTTTATTGAACTCATTATACACATGATTTCTCCTCTAAATTTATTTTGGAGTTGAAACTAACTGGTTTACCTGGAAAAGGATACATGGATCTTTCTTAACTTACAGTTCAGAAAATTTTCATAAGAAAATTAGTAGTATGGAGAGTTGATACACACACATATTATAAATAAATCAGTCTATGAAATGCATACATATGTCAATAGTTGTATATAAAGCGTAAAAATATTATCCTCTCGATTCCATAATATATGATACAGCAAAGGTTCACTCAAACTATCATGGCAACAAGACCCATCACATATTTAAGAAACTAAGTTGTCTTCAAATGATTACTAATGTAACCAGATTACTTTTCAATTAGCATCATCAGGCATTTAACTCCACTAAGCATTAATTTTGTCTAGCTGTATTTTTACTTCCATACAAAATTAAGGAGCATTATTTTGATTTCGTTCCATTATGTACAAAAACCAACTTTGCAGACTGGAGCTACATATCATTTAGAAACATACACACATGCCCTTCATGTCAAATCATTAGGGTCAGCAATCATTTAGAAGGTTAGTAAAATTTAAAGCGAACGTTTCTTACGATCAGCGTGAAAATGAGTAAGAAACCAGTGTGAGCAATCTCTTCTAAGGTACTTAAAAGCATCCTGCAACAACAATGAGAAGGATGCTTAGACTTGAATCCTTATAATCGAATTCATTTAATGAAATAAAGGTATAAAACTAACTAAAGTGTGACATTTTCAAAGAGGTTCAAATCCACCAAGCACAAGCTGATAGCATAAGCTACCAATCATACAAAGTGCCTGGTAGCCAAAATTAATACTGTCAATTTTGGGGCAAGTGTCATAAAACTTTATAATAAATGGCTACCCATAGGTCGGATAACCCTGCCACAATCTGACCACAACTCTATCCCACTTTTTAATTGGTCTCATCAGAATACAGAAATTTTATATTAATATTTCTTTGGAAACTATTGTTACGGATCTTTCGGTATAACATATTTTCGCATAATTAAGCCAATAATCTATCAAAATGACTAAAAGAGTGTACTTTGGATAGCATAAAAGTAGATTATTTCAATAATCAAGTACTCCATATATGATTATTGATCATTGTTATAATTAATTATAATCAAATCCATTTTTGTTTGGATAAAAATTTGTTCAAAGTGGTTTGGAAATAACTATTTTTGTTTGGATGCAACAACAAAATTTTGCTTTTACATCGTAAAGAAAACATCTAGAAGAAAAAATAAGTGTGTAAAAAATTGTCATAAGCTACAAAATTCCAACTTCTCTAAAACAGCTGAAGGGTTTGTTTCCCGAGCATGCCTTAAGTTAGAGTCAATAATCAAATTTTCACTGTACAAACGAAAACTATATAATCACATTCTTAGATTAATCACGATGATGATGCAAAAAGTCTCAAAACAAAGAGCTTTCCATTTTTATGGTTCACCACGAACCAATATTAGAATTGTAACAAGTTGCAACTATGAAATTCTCAAATAGAGATAAGTTCCATTAAAAATCAAAAAATGCTCAAAGGCAATATCATATATCATTCTTATCTCCTCCTACTTTCTTACTAGCTCTCAAGCACATTTGAATAAAGATGGAGAAGTCTTTTTCAAAATTTGAACTTAACCCAAATGCAGAAAAATTAGATAAGAACCTTAAGGTGTCTTAGTAGTAATGTGTCATACAATGGAAAGAAACGTGTAAAATTGAATAGCATATTAATCGCAACAAACATAAAGGTAAAGAGTTGGAATGTTTACCACACGAAATGGTGTTCCTGGTATGGAGCACCACACAGGAACATCCCTATATTTTGGGTTCCTGGCAGGATCCTTCCTCTTAAAAGGTTTATATGAAGAATCTATGAAACTGCTCCCCACTTCCTTTTTTCCAGTAGAAGTAGCATGAACCTTTTTCATCCTGGCAGCAGAAGATGGGAAATAATCCGTTATCAACTTGCTCAGCTTCACTTTACTTGTATCATCGACTATAGCCTGTTTGGCATCATTCTGAACACCTACTTCTTTGATGTTTTCCTTCCTTAGTTCAGAAAGAGCATGAACGATCTTTTTTCTTGGACCAAGTGCACTAACACCAATCTTACAAAGATCCTGCATGAAAGAAAAATGGAGGTGGTCAGACAGCTGAATCAGTAGTTTATTAAAGTCAATCCCTCCCCTCCACCCCAAAAAAAGAGCGGGTGCAGACCAATCTATGTTTGAATTGGGCATACTCACAAAATCATGAATGAACACAACAAATGCTCCCAAAAAAGATGGATATAATAGATTGACATCTATGATATCCATGTTTTATACGTGTACAAAAGACATTGTAACTCAAATGTTGTTCATAGTTGAAAATCGCTAAAAAATGTATGGCTATGGATGAATAAACCAAACACGTCTAATTTCTATTTTCATTGTTAAATTTTAAAAGTAGTACAATCCTTGACTTAGGCTCTGGAGGCAGATCTACTATAAGAAATGATAGGCAGACTCTCTAAGCATCCTTAATTGCACATAAATATCTTTAGACAATAAAAGCAAGGCTGCAACAGTAAAAATGGGAAATGGTTATTAGATAAAACAAATTACTACGCCCAACAGTGCAGACATATTAGAGTTTACTATTCTGGGTTCTTCTTTTCATGTTCCTGGCATTCCCTAAGAATTAGTGCTGGGTGAGACAAAATACACAACAGAGAGAACTCGGAGTTAGATTTAATCTTTTTGTTAAGTATAGATCCACAGACAGTCAAACAGTCAGACGTAAAGCAAACCTCTTCTGTCAGCCATTTTAAGGTGTCCCAATCAATCTCCTGTTTAATAAATAACTCTTCATACTTAGCTAGTCCTAGCTTATGTAGCCACTCTGCCACAGGAGACATAGAAACAAACTTTTGAGGAGTAGGGGAAGCATCGAGAACTTGTCCAAGATGTTGATTAGATGTGTCACGATGGGAAACACCCACCTGCAAAAATAAGAGCAGAACAGTGTTTTAGGAACTACTATCAGACTATATACTTATAGAGAATCAGCATCTCCAATGATGCAAGTTAAAGCAAAAAGGTGAATATGCTTTAAGGAGTAAGACGAGTGCGTTTATAGTATTGAATTTAAAACAATGGATTGTTCTACCCCTTTGTGTGACACCGTGAATAAACAATTAAGTATTTCTGAAAAGGATAAGGTACAATGTGGTACATTATATAATATATTAAAATTATTCGTAGAGCTGTGTATTTTTGAATATTACTCAGTCTACTACATCCCTTTCAAAAGATAGAATACAACATAGAAGCGGACCCTAAGTGCTCCCTTCAAAGATACGAATAAGAGAGATTATGTGTGAATAACACCTTATGTTTAACTGCTTCAAAAAAAACCTTATGTTTAACTTTTTCAGAATTTCTTCTGTACTTTCCAGTTTTTTTAAATTATTATATTTGTTCTTACATATTGCCCTTCCCACTTCAGATCTTTATCTTAATAAATTAAAACAAAAAGCATTATTTGCATGATATTCTCTCCACAATTATTAGAACCTCAACTTAAAGCTTACAACTTGAGAGGCGATTCTCTTGCCACTACATTTAAGATTATTCCTACAAACAAAATGAGAAAAAAAAAGCGCACACCGATGAAATTGAAATTTACAAATTCGCTACGGCATGTTACATTTGCAGGCTCTTTAGATTTGTTCCGTTGTTATAAACAAAACTCTGAAAAATCAGTTGACTACATGTTGCCTTGTTATGAATCCCTTTTGTATTACTAATGCACATCTAATATGTTATTCAAAAAGTGTACCTTTTGAAAACTATAACGCAAATTCCCCAGTAAGATATAAAAATGTATATTACGCAGTAGGAAGGTGAAGATTATTTTAGATATTTTTACTTATTTACTTTGACTAAATGAATGCCTAACTTATGACTTATAAGAACCATAGTGAATATTCAACAAGAAGAGAGGAATTTTAAATAAAAAAAATTAACAACATTAAGAGAAGAAATCAAAGAAGTTTATACCTCAGTTGGAGCATCATCTTTATCAATGCACTCATTAGTGTGCACTTGCCTTTGCTCCTCACTTAAATCTGTGATGTCCTTATCACAAAGTGGACAATAAATCAGACTACAGTTGCCATTACCTCCTGAAGCACATCCATCTTCATCTACTTCATCCTCTTGATCTTCCAAATAATAGTCATCTCCTTCACTCCCCTCTCCACATAGTTTAAGCAGAACATCAAGATCTGAGCTCTCCCCCAATTCTTCACCCACCCCGTCTTCCAATCCTGCAGCGGATTTCAACAACCTTGACACTATTGAATTCAAGTACCCTTTTTTACACTCCGAAACCCCCTTTTTAGGTGAACATGAAAGTGACCCATTCTTCCTATCAGAATCTGCATCTATATCTACTCCAACCTTTTCATTTGGCACAACTTCATTGGAACATTGACTAGCATCTTCTTCGTTAGTATTCAAACAGCCATCATAAGCAGAATCGACAGTTAACTGGATGGAATCCAACCCACAGTTCAAACCCACACTCTCCAAATCCGGCTCGGAATTTCGTCGAACAGGTAGCGAGCAAGGAATGACCAGACCGTCTGCCTGAGGGGAAACATTTTCTTTGTATGGACTTTCATACCGATGCTTCTTTGCCTTCCCCCGATGTGGACGATCGGTACTGAAACGTCTCAGAGGCTTCCGAGAGACGGATGTGGAGGGGCCAATGCTGGAGCGGAACAGAGAAGGAGATGGATCTTGAAAATCGTCGTCGTCGTCGGCCAGAGACGAAGCCAATGTAAGATGAAACTGCGACGGAGACGGTTTAGCCTTGGAACTGGAGGCCATCGGAGTCACCGGCGACCACCGACCGGCGGAGAGAATTGGTTATGGAGAATTCAAATTTTCGCCTGAGATGAGAAACGGAGGGAAATTTGAGCGTGATCGGCATCGGGATTTGTACTGTGTTGGGATGACCCGATGAAACGACTATTGGGCTTCTAACGAAAGCCCAAAACGCGTGGTGGCTTTTGGTGGGCTCTTGCTAATCACCCAATTGCACTCCCCTCCACTCTCCACTAATAAGGATCCGTTTAGAAATTTGGAAAATAATTTTTGAAATATTTAAAAATATTCCCCTTGTCCTATTGTTTTTGTTCAAAATTTTTTTAGTTGAAAATTTTTAAAATGAAAAAAAATATTCCATACGTCCAAATTAAATTGCATATTTAATATTTACAAGGTAAAATTCCATTAACTTTTTTCTCTATTTATGTTAGTCGTTTAATAAAATAATGTAGTCTTTTCACTAATAACTTTGTTGATCTCTTGATATAGTTTTTAAATATATAATTTTATTTTTTAATTTTATATCATTTTTCATATAAACTGATTTAAAAATAACTTCAGTCAAACATCGTAAACCGAAACATGCGATTTACATTAGGACGGAGACTAGTTTAGTTTCACATATTGTTGAGTTTTTTTTGCACACTTTGTGTCTGTTTGTTGATAGCTTTTAACTTTGATGTTTTGAAAATTAATCCATGCTATTAAAAAAATTAGTTAATGACTCGTATACAATAGGTTGAAAAAGTATGTATGAACACATGTTACAATTATAATAGAGTTATTAGAGATCACAAAAATGACTCCTACCCTTTACTATTATTTGAGGAAAATTTTTGCATTAACATAACTACCTCTTTTTTTTTAATATTATTACCTTTATTACAATGTATTATATATCTTGAAATATTTTTTTAATTTACTCAAAATAAAGATTCAACGTCTCCCACTAGGGTTCAAAGTTTCAAATTAAACATTAACATTTGACCTCCCATTTGGGAGAACTATAAATTTTAATAATAATAATAATAAGGAAAAATTACCCAAAATAATCTCAACTTTACCCAGTCTTTCAAAAATAATCCCACCTTTCACTGTGATGCATAATAATCCCAACTTTACTGAAACTTGCCAGTTTTGGGTCGCCGTCAAGTTTCTAACGGAGGGTTAACGAAAATGCCCGTTTTAGGCAACAAAATGAAAGTTGGGATTATTTTTGATGAATTTTCATTTTTTTTATATTTTTAAAATTTTTCATTTAAATGTTTTAAATTACTTTCTACCTCCATCATCATTTCTTTTTCCTTTTTTAAAGATTAGTCTTAGTTTAAAAAATAAAAATAAAAGATATAAAAAATGAAAAAAATGAGAAATGTAACTAAAATGATACAAAAATAATAAAATAAATAAGGTAATCAATGGAAACTAACTTGAAATTGGTAAAACTAACATAAAAATATACGGGTGGGTTTTAATATTTTACGCATTATACAAAATATTAACATATCACTTCTTATTTTTTAGAAAAAATTATCTACAATAATTCCAACTTTACCGGACGGCTTGTTCTTTTAAAAAATAAGTAGTACATTAAGACTCCGTATAGTGTGTAAAATGTTAAAACCCACCACTCCATATATATTTATTTTATTTCTTACCAGTTTCTGTTTAATTTCTATTGATTAAATTATTTATTTGATTAATTTTGTATGGTTTTAGTTATTTTTCTCATTTTTATTATTTTTAATATCTATTTTTCTAAGGTAAGAATAATCTTTAAAAAAGAAAAAGAAATGGAGGTTGAAAGTAATTCAAAAAATTTAAATAAAAATTTCAAAAAAAAATTAAAAAACAAAAATTCATCAAAAATAATCCCAACTTTCATTTTGTTGCCTAAAACGGACATTTCCGTTAACCCTCCGTCAGAAACTTAACGGTGACCCAAAATTGACAAATTTCAGTAAAGTTGGGATTATTATGCATTACAGTGAAAGATGGGATTATTTTTGAAAGACCGGGTAAAGTTGGGATTATTTTGGGTAATTTTTCCTAATAATAATAATAATAATAATAATAATAATATAATAATAATCATCATCATCATACGGAGTAATAATAACAATAACAATAATAACACCCCAGTTAAGCAATGCATGCCATGGGATGACCCGGGGGCCGTACGATGTTCTGTTCGTAAAATTAACGGTCCATATCGCTCATAACCGCTTTACCCCGCCCCGCCCCAAACCCACTGCCCAACCCCCAAGTTTAATTGACTTTGGAGTCAAAATTTTAGTTCCAAAGTCAATTAAACTTGGGAAATGCAATTGAAAGAGGTGGGGCGGGGTGAGGGGATTTACCGAGAGGCTTAGGAGAGGTAGGAACCGTCAATTTTACGAAGGAACATTGTACGGCTTTTGAGTCATCCCATGACATTGCTAAGTAATGTCATAGGAACCTAACCCAATAATAATACAGGAGTAATTAATAAAAATAATAACAATAATAATGACTAATAATACTGATAATAATCGATACACTCATACAAACACCACAGCACACTCATAAATAATAATGAAAAATCGTCCAAATTAAAGTCTCTCTCATCATCATCATCATCCATCAGTTGGAATGACAACAAAAAAAGATCGACCAACAGAAATAAATATAGGGAACAATTAATGGAGTAAAAGAGTAGAGATGAATGCATGGATGATTAATTAATTAATTAATTATGAAGAATGGTGGATGGGTGGTGGTCTTGCAGATTGGGCTGCATGGGTTGCACACAGAAGGTGAATGGCAGCATCTGATGGTGGTGATGATCGCTGCCGCCGCCGCCGCCTTGATGATCTCTCTCCTGGTGGTGGTGGTGGTTGAACACTTCTCCTCCACCACCGCCGCCGCCACTGCCGCCCCCTATCTCTCCCATGTTCCGGTTCATCTCCGCAATCTCCAGTTGTCTCTGCATTTTTTTTTTAATTTGTTGAAGAAATTAAAGTATTCCGCACTAATGGAAATATAATTTTTTTTTTAAATACTCCTACAAAATATGATATTGTCAAGGAATCACCAATTCAGACTTTTGGTTTGGTGGTATACTTGTATGCCAAAGAATGTTCAAACTTTTGAAAAATTGGTTTGGTTTGGTGAAAAATTGGTTTGGTAACATTCTAATATAACAAAAAAAAACAATTGAATCATAAGTTAAAGTTTTTGGTTGTAACTTGTAAGTCTAAGAATGATTTTATAATCTAATATTGTACTCCCTCCGTCCACCTAAGTTCTTCCCGTTACGCGTTACGAGGCTTGACCGACTTTATTTTCAATTCAATTTAATTGATTATAGGAGTAAAATTTTCAAATAGAATTTATATAGTAATAAACTACTTGAAAAGTTCTACAAAACTAGAGGTGACAAAACTATATTATTTTACGAAATGGCTAGTAAAAATGAGCAAACAAAGTGAGTAAAGTTTGACCATGTGAATAGTGTCTGGGAAGATCTATGGTGGACAGAGGGAGTACTTCATATGAAGTAGATATGTAGTATCACACAAACATATATTCTCCCGTCCCATAAAGTCCTTCACGTTTCAAAAAAATCATGTCCCTAAAAGTCTTTCCCATTTCTATTAAAAAACCACTTTTATCCCTTATTTTTTCATACACTATCCTTATCTATCACATCATACCTTTTTTCTAATAATCTACACATCACATCTAACTTTTACTCATCACATCAAGGGTTTTTTTGAAAGTGATTTTAAAATTATCCCTCATTATTTTACCACTTTAGTCAAACCGTCCATATTTTTAGGGGACGAAGGGAGTATAAGATGCTATGGGGAAAGTTGGCAATCTGAGTTCAATTTCTACCCAAATTAATGTACTTCCTCTGTCTAATACGGAGTAGAACATTTCTATTTTGAAAAAATGTTAGATTTAAGGAACGTATGTTATTGGTATTACTTTCCTTTTTGTTTGTCTTTACTTTATAGTAAGGCAAGATAGGATGTGACACTCCGTTCTCCAAAAGAAAGCCACAATTAGTTTTTTTTGTTAAAGTTTGTAAAGTTTGATTGTAATTAACGTAAAAGAACATTATTAAACTTTAATTCGACTTTAATATTTTTAGACTCATTTCTAAAAGTAGTTTTAGAAAAAATACTCTGTAACAAAATACTAGAGGGATACCAAAAGATGTATCTCAATTGTACATCATTGTTTATCCACCACACAATCTTGAATGTGGAAAAATAAATAAAGAGTAGATAAAAATTATTTCTTCCGTCTCGTAAAATCTTTCAACTTTCATATTTTGTTTGTCTCATTAAACATCTCAAATAATTGGGCTAAGTGAACACAATTACCTTTACTTTTTTTAAATCTAACCGGACATACCTAAACTACCTTCTACGCCCTATCCATTCAATTGATATATTACGAGACCTACTCGATCCGATTGTCGTTGTTTCACTTAGATCAAACTTTTACAATTTTCACTTCTATGGACTGTTGGAATATTTGATAGAGATATTAATGATTTACAAATGGGGGCAAACCTCTGGTTTGGTCTACCGTACCCATGACATTACTTCTAGAAATAATAAAGTATCACAGCAAAGATTACGAAAGTTAAAGTCAAAGTGTACACATGATGTTGTTTGATGGAGGGAGACAAGGACTATGACCCTAATTAATCGTTCGATTAATCCTAGGATTTAAATTTTGAAGTGCATCCGTATGTATTGCGGTCAAATGATTAAACGAAGGCGCATGTGAATTTGGGGCTAGTTAATTAGGGTTTAGGATATAGCTTTTCAGATTTTAGGTCAAGCTTGGAAACCCTACCCCTTCCTTTCTATCCTATCAATTCAATACCCCAATCGAATTATTTGACAAATTCCTAAAGACTATACCCGTTCAAATGTATGCTTTTGATAATTTATACTGACACAGAATATTAGTGCGATTAAAAAAAATTTATTAGTATTTTATGTGTGTGTGAACGATGACACTTACACAAAATGAAAGTATACATTTGCTATGTACAATTAGAGTACAAGTTTTAGTGTACAAGTAACTTAATTCTATTCGTAATCACATTTTCCC